GGCGAGATTAATAATTTGGAATATAAATTATAAATAACAGCCCATCACAGAGAGGATGAAATACTGAGCAATTCTTTCACATATAGTATGCAGATAGAATTTTTTAGTTTCTGAGATATTTTAATCCATATCTTCAATAAAACTCGTTATAATTTGGTTTTCGACACGATTTTTTTCCTTTTCGCTTCCCTAACACTGCGTCGCGTGAATATAAAATTTTGAATAATAGCTCATTACAAAGAGGATGAAATGATGAACATTTCTCTTCTTTATAATATCCAGGTCTGATTTTTAGTTTTTGAGATATTTTAATCCATATGCAAAAACACTTCAATTAGTCGACTCCAGCCGACTTTACCCGAGCGTTACACATAGGAGATCTGACGGCTCAATTTAATTCGTTCTCCACGAAAAAAAAAGCAAAACATGCCTAAAGAGGTTTTTACTTAAAAAGATGATATTAGTAACAATTGCTTAGGGATAAATTCATTAAGAACCGCACTTCTATCCCTTAAAATTAAAATATGTTAATATGTTTAAAATTAAATAGGTTTAATTTAAAAATATTAAAGGATTGTAAACGAAAGATTGAACAAATTATTAACTGCAGTAATGAAATGTTTAATGTGCTATATGTTTCTCTCCATAAAATAGTGGACCATTTAAGTAATACTTTCCTCTCGGTCGTTACTACTTGGAGGCTCAGCTGTGAGCTGTAACCTTCATAACGCTATGAATCAACTCCAGCTTCCAGTAACAGATTGCTTTATTGCTAGCGCTCTGTCATTTGTTTGTTGTAAAAATTTATTTTAGTATTTTATAAAAATAAAAAATATCACTTATAAATTATATACAATTCTTCTAGGACCATATTTTTACTTTTTTTTTATTTTATTCTCTCACAGGTTATTTTTATATCCCTTAAATATTTCCATTTCTGAAGTTATGTGTTTTGAAGTGGAAACTGGCGCGTTTTGCACTTTTTTGTGGAGAGTGAATCAGATTGATCCGTAGGATCTCTATGTAAAGTCGGCTTTAGTCAACTAATTGAAATGTTTCAAATATCTCTGAAACTAAAATTTGGGCTTGCATACTTTATGCGAGGAAATTGTTCAGAATTTCATCCTCTCTATAATAAGCTATAATTTAAAATTATATCTTAACTCGACGCCGTTTTTAGGAGGCGAAATGAAAAAAAATAGTGTTCAAAACCAAACGATAAATAAATAAGTTTATTTTATTTATTTGTATATAGGTGTGTATATGTTCTTTTTATTTCTTTATTTTTAGGTTATTTTACCCTTATTTATTGTATATATATTATTTTTCTGTATAATTTATTTTATTTATTGTACATAGAGTGTGAATGTGATCTGTGAACTCTATTATAAATGTTCTAGAGACAGATTGTAATATTTTTCAATAAATAAGTTTTTAAAAAAATATATATATTTATTTTTTATTTTATTGAGTATTAATACAGTCTGCCACACTGAAGGGCATTGGTACTAGGGCTATAGTATTCATTCACAAAATGTGTACATAAGAAAGACAAATAAATATAAATAACCAAATAAGAAAAAAATATATATATAAATAAAAAGATAAAGTAATATAGTAGATGAGTAAAATAACAGATTAAAGCCGAATGATAATAAATTAAATAAAACTCCCTGTCTCTGAATCAAGCTTTGTCCCCCAAATGTGGAAGCTAAAGCATGAATCCAGGAGATCCCAACAGCGTCACTGTTATTGTAAGCCAGTGGAGACTGAAGTAGGGCACAAGAGACAGCAGAAAGTTATGCTTGTTTTTTTAAGCTAAATACTTCCCTCTCTTATTCTCTCTTTTTGCTCTCATGCAGTAGCGGATGCAGGATTTATTTCATTTTTTTTTAGTTAAAGCTTCTTTAGGCCGGTTTCGCACTTTTTTGTGGAGAGTGAATTAGATTGATCCGTCTGATTTTAACGCTCGGTTAAAGTCGGCTGTAGTCAACTAATAGAAATGTTTAAAATATCTCGGAAACTAAAAATCGTGCTTGCATATTGTATGTGAGGAAATTGTTCAGCATTTCATCCTCTCTGTAATAAGCTATAATTTAAAATTATATCTTCTGTTGAGCAAATCCGATACCTAAGACTCCATCTGGACAAACGACTAATTTGGAATCCTCATACTAGACTGAAACGACAAGAAACCGCTCGACGTTTCCGATTTCTTCAGCAGCAGACAAACGCTCTAGACTTTCAATTAATTACAAAAGACTCTTATACATGACTATAATAAGGCCTATTTGGACTTACGGAGTTGAGCTATGGGGCTTCACTAAACCATCGAATTTCTCTCGTATCCAATCATTATAATCCAAAATCCTTCGTAATATCCTCTACGCGCCTTACTTTGTCACAAATAAAATCATCCCTTAATATTCCATAAATTTCCGATGTGGCCCAATCCAGATACCTATCCTTTCATAATAAACTTCAGAATCATCCCCTCTCGTTTCTAACCTTGCTTTCTCTTCAATTCCTGATAACCCTCCGAGGCGTCTGAAAAGAAGATGGTCCCGTGACATCCTAATGTAGACACATCATTAGAGTGCTACCATTCGGAAGTTACTCAGCAAGTGTTTTCATGTTATTATATACATTATGTTCAAATTTACTAGATGTATTTATTCAATACAGTTGTAAATATCATTTAGAAATAATTAAAAAATATATCTTAACGTGACGCTGTGTTGTGATAGCGAGGTTAGTTGAATATATGGATTAAAATATTTCAGATACTAAAGATCGGCCCTGCATACTGTAGGCGAAACAATTGTTCAACACTTCTTTATAATGATTTATAATATATAATATATATTTCATATTATTAATCTCGCCTTGTGGATGTTTTCACTTTAGGTCTAAAGTACACACATTAGGTTTTTATTTATTTGTATTATTTCTATATGCCAGATTGAGGTACATATTCCTTAACTCTACTTTACTTTGACTTTAGTACCAGAACAAATTTATTTTACATATAACATACTTAGAAATCAACTACACTTATTTGCATAGGGCAAGTTCTAAAAAAAAATATTTACGTCACATTGCTATGTCAGGTCGATCTAATTTGTTTTAATATATTTTTCCTACTGTCTATTTATATATTTTTTTCATACACAATTTACTTTTTCAAGAGATTTTTTCAGGGAGAAACAAAGTTGATATTTTTTTCTCACCTCAAAAACAGTTATACTATAAGAGAGCGAAATTTTCAGCATTTTGTCTTCCTTCAATTGAGTTATTATTCAAAATTGTATCTTAACCCAACACCCTGTTAGGTTGTTGTAGAGAAAAAGATAGTGTCCAAACCCAAATGAAATTATATAGTACAAATGCTAATATTATTACAACATTGAAATTTTATTTTGACTACATTATTAAACTGCATGCTGTAAGCGACGGAAATGTTCAACATTCGACTCTCTTTATAATCAGCTATTATTTATAACTTATATTTCATATTTTTAATCTCGCCATGTTGTTGTCGCCATGTAAGCACACATCTTAGTTTTTTTATTCTAAGTATTATAGAGGCAATACTGTGTCTATGCGCATGGCCATTTTGGGTGCAATGTAAAAAAAAAAAAGAAAAAAAAGAAAGAATTAAGAATATTTTTTTTTAGTTAGCTTTGTAGAAATTTTAGTTATCTTTCAAATATTAGAGACATAGGGCGAACGTACCAATTATGGACTTTTTTTTTTTCTATATTGAAGAACATCCCTTTATTGACAAGTGTATGAACAAAGATCCAAAAAAAAAAAAAAAGTTGTTTCTATAGTGCTCTTGAAATCAGTGTGTTTCATTCCTTCCTATTAACAGTTTTGCTAATAGTAAGTTGAACATTTATGTTATCTTATCTTTATAGTTAAATAAATAATTTTAGTATTTTTCTGAGGTATATCCATTACTGGTACTGATCCCCAGTCCATTACTAGAACAATTGAAGTTTGGGGTGTCTATCACTAGTGCAAAAAGGTGTTTTTTTAAATGGAGATTATACCTGCATAACTGAATATTATTTAAATTTAAAAGTGATAGAATTTTTCGGATATATACATTTATATACAGATATAATTTTATATGCACAAATATAATTTTATACACAAAAATTCTCGCAAATAGAGCGTTTTCAATATGGAGATCGGTGAAGTATGTCTATTTAAAATGCGGTATTAAACAATATTTTAAATATATTTTCAAGTTTATTTATTATCAGCCAATTTTACACCAATTTTTTTTATTTTGTCAACTTAAAGATAGAGACTGATGGCATGTCGGTGACACATGATAAGGTAATTTTAACTTAATCGAATCATTTGATAAGAAATAATTGAATAATAATAATGTTATAAAATAATTAAAGGTGGACATGAGAAAAATATTATGAGTGGACGCATGCAATTCGCATAAGTGAAAAGGACAGGTAAATGATTGGTATTTAGGTATATAAAAACAATCTCTATACGTTGAAATATGTAATGTTTTAAATATGATTGTAAATTGTAAAAATTTTTTAGACTTGAAAATGGCTCAATGAGCCAAAACGTCGTAATTAGATGTGTAGTCATTAAGTTGACAAAATTTTAAAAATTGGTGTAAAATTGGCTGATAATAAATAAACTTGAAAATAAATAGTATGCAGAAATAAGAAGTCGAGAAATATTGTGTATTTTAAATATATATATATATATATATATATATATATATATATATTTTTTTTTTTTTTTTTTGTTCCCTAGAAATTTGATACATAATTTTAATACGAAAGTTCCATGTACAGAGATTCGAATATAACATTTATTCAACTCAGAGGAATATTCACAACAAAGAGATAATGAGTGATTCCATTTGTAAGAAGTGGATGATGGAAGGACGAAGGATGTTGAGAATATCTCCTCCAAGGAAGACGAGGTGAGTGAAGAAGGAATGTGACGAAACTATCCAATCATGGGCAGGATGCACAGGTCAATGCCAGGGGAGGCACTGCTACGGCTGGGCAAGGAAATAAGCTGCTCGCGGGTGTCCTTCGTCCTTCTCTCATTGAGGGCTTATCGTAGGTCCTTTTAATGTTGCTACTGCCTAGGTCATCGAAACTGTCATCATAGTAGTCGTTACTGGAAAAATAATTATTTATGGGTAGGACTTCTAATTTTTTTTTAAATTTATGACATTTACAACTGTATAAATAAATAAAATACATTTAGTAAATTTGATAACAGAAAATAATCACTTGTTGAGAAACTACCCACTGGTAGCAGTCTTAAAAAAAAAAAGTATTTACAATAAGAGATCTCGATGCCATCTTCTTTTCAGACACCTCGGAGGGTTATTAGGGATATAAGATGAAGCAAGGTTAGCGATGTTTTTATTGAAAATTTCGTTAACTTTTAAAAAACATTTGAAACATCACATCACAATATCAACAAAAAAGTGAATACTTTTTTATTTATTCGGAATCTAATTTTACCATGCATCGTAACTTTTTTTTTCAGCTTATTTTCGTTAAAGTATGTTATATAGATGAATTTAAAGGTCATCAAAACAGAATAATTTAACCCAGTTTCATTAAAATCGGTACATTCGTTTAGGGGCTACAGTCTATAGCAACCCAGGTTTTTCGGCCGCTTGGAAGTAAAAGGCGGATAGTAATGTTGATGAAGGAGGATCATCTTCGAGTTACCTCTGATTTTAAATCCAAATTTGAAAAAAATCTGTCTAGTTGTTTCGGAGAAAATGCGCGAACGGCGGACAGTGGATGGACACAAAAATTATTATTCATTTTTCGAATTCTAATTAGTTTTTCGAATTCGTTTTTCGGATTCTGCTTAAAGGGAATGCATTCAGCTTATTCATAGTAGAAAATTATGTTTCAATATTTTTAATAGCTCTGGTTAGCTTGGTTTTCGTTTCTTATGGGTACCATACTATGAGAATATGAATAAGTGATATTAAAAAAAATTGTATGGGGCGAAAGGATAATAGTTTGTTTCTTAAATTAATTTGTATACAATTCTCTCTTTGGGTGGTCATCCTCGTGTTTAAATAGAGTAAACCCATTGGTATATTTGCGTTAATTTAAATGTTATTTAGGTAATAATCTAATCTAAAAATCTTGTCTCAGTTTCAATTAAGTAAAACTGTTGTTATTAAACAGATATCAGCTCTTATTAGTTCAATTGTATCCTGGAACGTAAAACCTCAAATTTTGAGAGGGAGTTAAGTCTTTGAATTTTTTTTCGATTACAATGGTTCATTATTGAAAATAATAAACCAAAATTTAACTAACCTATTGTTATTATTTAACTTAAAATTCCAGACAAAATGGCACGTATTTTTTTTTATTTATTTGTTTATTTAGAAATATATTAATATGTTACGGGGACAATAATTATAGTGATATATGAACACATTCACACCATATATACAGAAAATATAAAATTAACAAAAGTAAAATAATAATAAAAAAAAAATATGTACGATAAAAAAATCAACTTAAAGAAGTAAATTAAAAATCATAAAAACACAGTCATACCTATATACAATATACACAATTGGGTAGGGAACCCCAAACCAGGCTGCTCCCTCCAACTATAGAAGGAAAAGCAGGACTCCAAGTGATCCCTGCGCTACTCTCTCAACCGCGTCAATGGTGCTAAAGCCACTGGAGTTTGAGATAGAGCGCTTTAGCCACATACACTCATGTCTTGAGTGAAGAATCTGGCACGTATTATTTGAATATAATCAAAACTCCGCCATCGAATATATTTTTTTTGTCTGCTTGAAAAATGTTACATTTTAGTATAACCTTTTCATTTAAAACTATTCTAAACTAGTGTATGTAATGCGGTGAGCAGTTTCAGTGGAATACACAAGCAGTTGCTGACGGCAGTCGCTGCGGTGGGCAGTACAAGGGACATATTGTATTAATATTGTACAAGAGCCCACTGCTGCTCACGTGGTAACAATAGGCTGAGGAAACTGCTGGCGATTCGTCACCCCGGGTCAGGATGGTTAGGATCCGGAAAATGTAAATGATGTGGTGGATGGGATGGATGGAATACCATCCTCGCCCTGCTATCACAGCAGCGGCACTTCCTGGAATGATGATGGAATGGTGGGGGGTCTGAGGAGGCCAAATTCAACTGTTGACATACACAGAGCATTGGTACTTTAATTTGTTGCACAAATACATAGAATTTGTTAGTACTTGTAATTATATATAACCTGATTTTAGTATATCTATACCCCACAAAGATTTTTATTTTTTATTTTATTGAGTGTAGATACAGTCTGCCACACTGAAGGGCATTGGTTCTAGGACTATAGTATTCATCCACACAATATGTACGTAAGAAAGGAAAATAAATATAAATAACCAAGTAAGAAATAAAAAATAGAAAGTAAGTAGAAAGTAAACTACTCTCTAGTATAAATAAAGTATATAAAAATATATATAAATAAAAAGATAAAGTAATATACAAGACTACTTGGCCCGTGCTAATAATTCGCAAATAATTTTGTTTATTGAAGAAAAAGCAAAACAATATGGAAATAAGTAGATCCTATGTATTGTGTAAGGAAGGAATTAATATTTTTTCCTTGGTCGCTTACAATATTCCATTTAACATAATAAACCAAATTATTTGTACAAATTGCTCTGCTAGGACCTATTTTTAAACCCTGACTGGAATGATAATAGAAGTAATAAATACAAAATAATGCCCCGATCATGGGATTTTCTTAATTATTAAAAAAAAAAAATGTAAGAAAAACCAAACGCCTTTAAGAAATAATAAATTTAATATATCAGCCAGGAACGCGTATTAGTCCTAAATGCAATATCTTTAAACAGGAAGACATTATTAAGTATACCAAAACTAATTCACTGTATCTTTTTTAATAATTGTCCGATTTTTACGTTTTTTTTTTGTTTTGTTGGTAATTTAGTAATCTTTCTTTCTGTCATGGCTACAATCAATGCACAGTTTTTAAGTTATTCGCAAATAAAGTTTCTTTTGCTTCATAAAATTTCGGAGGGATAGGACTATTTAAGGGGAAGAATATCTTCAAAATGAGTGGTCAATCATTGTATTTGATGAAGAATCGACGAAGTTATGGCGTACCGAAAAAACAGAACACAATAACAGATTAAAGATGATAATAAAATAAACAAAACGCATTCACACCTATGTACAATATTTACATTGGCCCTGGGGACTCTGAATCAAGCTTTGTCCCCCAAATGTGGCCGCCAAAGCAGGACTCCAGGAGATCCCAGTGCTTCTCTCCCAGATGCGTCACTATATTGTAAGCCAGTGGAGACTGATAAGGGGCACTAAAGACAGCACAAAGTTGTTTGTTTTTTTAAGCTGAATACATCCCTCCCTCATTCTCTCTTTTTACTCTCATAAAGCAGTGGATTCAAAAGTTTTTTTTTAAGTAAAAAATTCTTTAGCTGCGTTTTACACATTTTTTGTCGAGAGTGAATTAGAACCGTTAGATTTTAACGCTCGGGGTTAAAGTGGGCTATAGGTGATTAATTGAAATGTTTTTACACATGGTTTAGAATATCTCAGAAACTATATATATATATATATATATACTTCTGGCTTGGCCCTTCAGCTGCCCAGGGGCATTTTTTAAGGAATGGGAATAGGTGTGGGTAACACTTGTTGCATGAGCCCTTACATCTTTCATTGAACGGAGGCTATGACCTTCAAATAAAAATCTTATTGAAAATATAATCCAAAATATTTTGTCAATACGATGTTGAAGTAAAGAATATGCAGGTTAATATTTGTTACTTTAACTTGGTGCAAGAAATTCGTTTTATCTATGCGAGAAGAGGATCCGAAGAAGTTTCTTCCGAGACACATAGCTCAGGATTCTGCAAGAGATTTCCTCGGTTCGTTTCGTAACGAACATTGGCAACGAGCTTCGATTAATCTTATGCAATGTTTCTCTTCGCTATGACTTTCTTCTTGTTTTACCTTCTTTTTTTTTTTATAATATTAAATCTCGAATGTTGGTAGTTAAAATGATTATATTATACACAAATATACACATGCAGATGCAGGAATATGACATGATATAGTCATTATTTCATTTTATAAAAATGTCAACGCTAAATTAATATAATATAAAAAATATTGAAAGATTTGAGAGAAAAATTCTCCGCACAATAACCGGAGCGATCTGGGATCAGAGTACTAACACGTGGAGAAGAAAGACAAATAAAGAACTGGTTATAGAAACTGGTCAATCTATATCCCGTGATATGAAAGCAAGAAGATTAAGATGGGCGTGATATATAGCTCGTAGAAATCCATCTGGAAACCTCTACGTAACAATGAATGCTCAAAAGAAGGCAAAAAAGCCACGTGGAAGGCCAAAAAATAGATGTATCACTTGGATCAATAAAAATGCAATAGAGCTGAGTACAGATAACAGGAAAAAAATAGCCCAAGACAGGCAGAGATGGAGCATGCTTGTTAAGACGGCAAAAGAACTACATGGTCTGCAATGCCCATATGAAAAACAAAAAGTAAATAAAAAAACTTTCTCACAACGACGTGTTGTGAAACATTCCAAAATAGTTCTATGTTTATATAGATATATATATGCTATAAAAGATAATTTAATAAAATATAACTACAATAAAAATAATTTTTCTAAAAAAGCAAAAATCAGACACATATGGATGAAATAGTGGTGAGACCAGGGATGGCCAAAGATAGTCGATATTTTTGAAATATCGATATTTTCTTTACTATATTCGATATTTTACCATCGATAGTATCTACTTCTGACTATCGATATCGTCCCTTAGATATATTAATATTTTATTTAAAAAATAAATATAGCCTTTTAGGGAAGCGCTAGGAATTATATATGAATCTGACCATTATACAAAAAATATACTCATGTTATCTGTTCCTTGTAGAGTATAGTGAGTAGTAGACGAAAATGTCGATATTAGTTAATATCGACTATCTATAGCCACACCATGGTAGAGTAAACTCAATTCGCCATAATTTATTAGAACCTTCTCAAACCAAGGCTACAAATTGCCATAGAAACCTCTGTTTGATGCAATTAAATTAGCATTTCGCTTAATCCGATCTATGGGTGAATGAAAGGTATAATTGGTTGAATGGAAATTTCTGGGGAAAAGCTGAGGATGACGAAGATTGACAGGAATTTGAAAATTAATTTTACTAAGGGAGATAGAAGAATTTATATTTACATTAATTAATTGAACAACAAAACTAGAATTTTTTTTATGTGCGTATGTGCTAGAGAATCAATATTTATTTTGATATTCATATTTAAAAATGTTTATCATATCGATGGAACTATCGAATATAGATATTTTTGTCCAGTATTTTGATGGTATCGAAAGCTATAGGCCGATATTAATTTCAATATTGGGTCTTCGATTTCCCACTCCTTGGTGAGACTCTTTAATTAATTATTAACATCCGCCTAAATAGTTTCATTTCATCGTAACCTACAACTATTTTATTTACGAAACTCTTGGAATTGGGCCATTTTCGATCTGCAGGGGAGCAAACTTTGTCGATTTAATTAGGTACTAAAAACTCATAAATACTTATTTGCTTTCTACTTTGACCGTATGATAATTTTATCACAAAATCGATAAAAAAAAGGTGGCCTACAAATATATTGGGCCGTTGTGTAGGTGACGCCAAACGGCTCAATATTTTTGAAGGGCTACCTTTTTTTTCGATTTTGTGATAAAATTATCTTACAAGACAAGCCGAATGCAAATGGGTATTTACGAGTTTTTATTACCTAATTACATAGACAAAGTTTGCCCTCTTCCAGATTGAAAACGCCCCATGAGTTTTCGTAAATAAAATAGTTGTAATTTACGATGAGAAACCATTTACGAAGTTTTAGGCGGATGTTAATAATTCGATGAAAATAGGTCTGTACCACGGACTACATATCGGATTAGAACCAAAGACGTTCACTGCTTTCGAGAAACTATTAACAATAAAAAGAAAAATCTTAACACGTATCCGAGAACGAAGAAAAACAGGAAAAGAGTTCTGTCCTAAAAAAAGAAAATTGTTGATACTGTGGAAGTGAAAAAATGGTAAACTTCAATGAGGAAAAGAACACTGAAATGTTTCAGGAACATGAAAAGAATGGATGAAAACAAGTTGAACAATATTTGACAATGTAATGGGACTAAGGAACATCGGAGAATACCCTCATCAGATGTAAGAGAAAATAAGAAAACTTGGTATTATAGGAAAAATATTATCAGGACAGAGAAAAGAAATCAGAAAATACATTAATGTCCTTGTTGTGGAAAAGAGTGAAGGTAAGGAAAAAGTAGACAGAAGAGCGAAGGAAAGAGATTAATTAAAAAAATTACAAAATATGGTCAAATAAAGGGAGTGGGGTAGCTCAGTGGTGGGGTACTGGTCTTCCAATGCTAAAGGTCCCATGTTCGAATCCCGGCTCATGGCAGAAAAATTATTTATTCCGTTTATTTATTTATTTATTTGGCCGAGAGGTGACTCTGGGATCAGGAGATCCTTTTTGGTGTACAAATAGCCCTTATAAAGTGGTACTCTTAATCAAGTAATTAATTAAGGGGAAAACCTTGTGGTTAAGCTTGATCACAGTCAAATCACCTCCTTGCGCAACGGTTAACGAAGATATAGTATTTCTCTATATAGAATTGAACCACAAGACCCTTCATAGAAGTGGTACAGGGTATATATATATATATATATATATATATATATATATATATATATATATATATATATATATATATATATTATATTATATTATTGTATTATATTGACTGTCGGCAGAGGAAGACGGGGTTGCGTTTTCTACACGTTTCAGAACCCCAAGAACACTATCAGGTAGTTTTTAGAGGTGTCGGTTTTATATATATATATATATATATATTCTCTCCGCTACATTTAGCATCCCCTTTAGAACTAATTAACTAAAATCCGATTTATAGTTGTTTTCCAGGCAGAACAATACCGTAAATGTTTAGATAAATTTTGTCACAGTTTTCTTCAGTTTTTAAATTATTGCGCATCGTATTATAAATTTTATAGATGAGGATCAGTGTAGCTGAGTGAGTAAATCACTGTGATCCTATTCCCCT